TCTGAATGTTGGCTAGGCTGCAAAGTACATCTCTCTCGGTTTGGGTGTGTTTTTCCCCCTCTCAATGCGTTTCTGCAGATTGCTTCCTTCAAGCTGTAATCCCTTGTCTCCTTGTATATTTTTGGAAGGGCAGACGGAGAGAGTCTGCATCATCAGTGAGAGAAATCAGTGAGTCATAGCACTCATTTATGAGGAACGTTGTTTCATTCGAATCTCTCTTGTCAAGAAGCTGACAGTGAATTTGAGTCATTGGCAGAAAACAAGCTGTATAGCAACTTGACTATTTGGAGGATAAAAATAGATTGGGGGGATGGAAGCTGACTTTCGTCTGAAATCCTCAGACTTTGGGATATAAGATTCTCTCCCCCTCCCCCACATCCATATTATGGTTTCACGATCTGCATATGCTTGAATCTTGATTAAAACCAGTTTTGTTTTCCATCTGAAGATGTTTGTGTTTAGTTAAATCCTTATGTGGAAATATTCAACAACTCTAGGGCAGTTCCAGGGTGGTGTCTCCCAGATTTCTTATTGTTGACAACATTTTTATTTTTGAATTATTACTGGGGAGTTTTGCTTTCTTTCTGCCAAAATAAATGCTTTTGGGGGAGGGGAAAATGAGTTAGAATGATCTAATAGGAGACTGTACATTCTACAAAGTTGATTATGTTGTCCATTTGGCTGAAAGATTTTCTTTTTTCTTCAAATTTTATGGAATTTGAAGAAAAATTCTGGTAGAGAACCTTCATACTATCTGCTGCAACTTTACGGTAGCCTTCCCAACCAGCAATCTCTAGACATAGAGAATTTCAGCTCATACTTACCAATCAACTCAACAGGAATTATGGGAGCTTGAAATTTACCTCATATGAAGGTTGAAGAAGATCTCCTTAGGAACTGAACCTGTGGTGTTGCAAAAACAAAAGTAGGCCCTCTACTATTCATCTTCCCTATTTCAACCTATTAAATATATTATTATTAGTAGTAGTATAAAATCACATACACAGTTTGTTATGCACATTATGCCTAGAGAATTTGCACAGAGTATTTTGCAACAAGCAAGCAGCTCTCAGTTATCTCTGAAAATATAGTATGCTGCTCATGTGTTAAGTTTTCTTTGAAATACGGTTGCCAAGAAATTGATAAAATTGATGTTATTTGTTTAGTGACGTTTGAAATTACAACGTCACTGAAAAAAGTGATTTAGGATTGTCTTTCACATTTAGGACTGTTGCAGGATTCTTGTGGTCACATGGTCAAAATTCAGGTGCTTGACCACTGGCATGTATGTGTGATGGTTGCAATGTTCTGGGGAAGCTAGATTCACTTAATTGTGTTACTAAATTACTAACAACTGCAGTGATTCACTTAATAACTAGATTAGATTAGATTAGATTAGAATTCTTTATTGGCCAAGTGTGATTGGACACACAAGGAATTTGTCTTTGGTGCATATGTCTCAGTGTACATGAAAAGAAAAGATACATTTGTCAAGAATCATAAGGTACAACTCTTAATGATAGTCATAGAGTACAAATAAGCAATCAAATCATACTAGGAAACAATATAAATCATAAGGATACAAGCAACAAAGTTACAGTCATAAAGTCATGAGTGGGAGGAGATGGGTGATAGGAACAATGAGAAGATTAATGGTAATAGTAATGCAGACTTAGTGAATAGTTTGACTGCGTTGAGGAAATTATTTGTTTAGTAGAACGATGGTGTTCAGTAAAAAACTATCCTTGTGTGTAGTTGTTTTGGTGTGCAGTGCTCTATAGCGTCGTTTTGAGGAGTTGAAACAATTTATGTCCAGGATGCAAGGAGTTTGTAAATATTTTCACAGCCCTCTTTTTGACTCGTGCAGTATCCAGGTCCTCAATGGAAGACAGGTTGGTAGCAATTGTTTTTTCTGCAGTTCTAATTATCCTCTGAAGTCTGTGTCTGTCTTGTTGGGTTGCAGAACCAAACCAGACAGTTATAGAGGTGCAGATGACAGATTCAACAGTTCCTCTGTAGAGCTGTATCAGCAGCTCTTTGGGCAGTTTGAGCTTCCTGAGTTGGTGCAGAAAGAACATTCTTTGTTGAGCTTTTTTGATGATGTTTTTGAAGTTAGGTGTCCATTTTAGGTCTTGAGATAAGATAGAACCTAGAAATGTGAAGGTCTCTACTGTTGCTACTGTGTTGTCTAATATTGTAAGAGGTGGTACTATGGGAGGGTTTCTCCTAAAGTCTACCACCATTTCTACAGTTTTGAGTGTGTTCAATTCCAGATTGTTCTGGTCACACCATGAGGCTAGTTATTCAACCTCCCGTCTGTATGCAGATTCATCATTGTCTTGAATGAGACCAATCACTTTTGTATCATCTGCAAACTTCAGTCGTTTAACAGATTGATCGTTTGAGATGCAGATAACTATGACAAGAAAGATCATAAAATGGGGAAAAACTCACTTAACAATCTCTTGCTTACCAACAGAAATTTTGGGCTCAATTGTGGTTGTAAGTCGAAGACTGTCTGTATTCTCAACTCTGCGATTGGATTCTTCCACAGGTCCACTGAAGTGCCAGTCTTACAAACTTTCAAAAAGTGCATCAGCTATTTTCTCCCACTATTTTTTTTCCTAAACATCATGAACTTCCAAAAATGACTTAATTTATGTAAATTTGTTTTTCTTCAAAATGTCACAGTGTAGAGTACTTATTTAGAAATTATTATTATTTTATATGTCAGAGGAATCTATGCAGATGAATTGTCTGGAAGCTGAGTCATGGCAGCTGGACTTCTTTTTCTCGTTGGTTCAAAAAGTTTTCACTGTTTTATCCAAGTAGTTTCTTCGGTTTTCTATGCAGATGCTTTGAGACTTTTCAACTACATGAGCAAAATTTGTTGGTGAAACTTGCTGTGTCTAGAAAGAAGATCCACAGTGTATGGATTAAAAAATCAAAATGGCTGTCATAGGTGGGGTTCACCTTCATCTAAACTTACTACTAACAATTTCCAAATGGCTATAGCTATGTGGGTATGAACATGAAAAAGGTGAAGCCCTGTTTTTTTCATGTTCATACCCACATAGCTATAACCATTTGCAAATTGAGATACTGTTAGTAACCATAATGGTGGGCCTTCTTTGTGCTACTCTTGTCTACATAACAGTGTGTCATTCTTTTCCTCCCTCTTGGAATTAGAAGAGCTCAAAGCAAGGGTGAAATTTTCTTACCCTCCCTACCGGTTTGCCAATGTGCGCTTACTCCACTCGCCCACGCCATCATCTCCACATGCTTAAAACGTTGCAGAAAAGCGATGTCATGACATCCATGCAGGTGGGCGGAGCCTCCCACAGCCGCCGCTACCAGTTCACATGAGCCGGATAGAACCGGCTGGATCTTGCCCCTGGCTCAAAGGCACTTGGAATGTAGGGAGGTCACGGTTTTTTTTTCTCCTAATAAGCTTTTGGTGACTGAAGTAAATATCCTCCCTGCCTTTTGTGATTGTTTATGCCTAGAGTTTTTCTGATGCAGTTGGGTTAATGGTTATTAATTCCTGAATTAAGATACAGGTAGTCCTTATCTTACAACAGTAATTCTGGCCTAAATTGTTTTTGCAGTCATTAAGCAGGTGACCACATGATCGGAACCAATTTTATGATATTTTTTGTGCTGGTCATTGAGAGGCTGCATTTTTACCCACTGGGTGTTTTTGTTGGAAACCAGAAGTAAACACCAGAAACTGGCAAAAAACCATTGAAAATTGTAGACACATAACAGTGGGATGCTGCAAACAGCTGTAAATGTGAGCTGTTTGCCAAGTGCCCAAAATGCGATCACATGTCTCTCTCTGTGTGTGTGTGTGTGTATGTGTACGTGTGTGTGTGTGTGTGCATTCAGTTGTCATAACTTGGAAATTGGGTCATAAGTAGCTTTTGGAAAATCCATCATTCTTCAAATAGTCACTAAGGGATCAGTCACAAATCAAGGATTAAATTAACTGTATGGACTGTAGTCACTATTGTTATGGATGTGCTGAGTACCCTGCTTAGAGCAATTGAAGCAACAGATAAATAATCAAGAAAGAAAAAGAATAAAGTAGGATTTCAAAGTTTTAAAGTAGTTTGCCACTGAATGGAAATTACTGGAAGCCATAATTGGAGAAAGCCACTTATATTCATTTTCAGACTGAATGACTTACCTTATTGCTCCACCATTTTATAAATAAATTTGTTGTCCAATAAATTTGTTGAGGACTGGAGCTTCCCAAATTTTCAGACAGCTCAAGATCAGCATTTGGAGAATGCCAGGAGGAGCTGCTAGTGATCAAAGCCTGCCAGAGTGTTGTCAATTAATGCCCTCGTCTTTATTTTTTGCTTTTGGTGCATCTCAGGACATAGTATTTGGTCTGTCAAAAAAAATCATCTTAACCATATGGCTGAAGGGATAGAAATAGTATCTTTTTATAGCCTGGTCTTGAGAAGTTTGATGCAATTGATGCTTTGCATTTTTGTCTTCAAGTAGCTCTTAAAAGCTTAGCCAAATGTTTATACAATACTATTATTTGAATGGTGTACCAACCATTCCAAATCTTTTGTGCATCCTTCATGCTTGATTAAAGAATCCCATTAATAGTGGTGGAAAATGCTAATTGGCAATGTCCTTTGCCAGCCATTACCGGCTCAAATATCCTATATAATCCATTGTTGATTAACAGAATGAAAGCTGCTGTATTTTTATAAAACCGAATATCGCAATGACAATGCAGCCCTCTGAATCTTGGACCTCCACAACTGGTAGAAAACTACACTGGGAGTTTAGTTGCCAAAAATGGCTGCAACTTAAATGATCATTTCCAGGCAAAATGGAAATAATATATTTTCAACCATTTATTCATTATGATCATCAAAACAAACAGTGGCACAGAGAGAAAGCATTTACCTTCTTGGCTTGAGTGGATGAGTTCTTTCCTCATTAAAGCTTGTCTTGATTTTCTTCGCTTTCTTTGGCAGGTGACATCACACAGAAGGGCTATGAAAAGAAGAGATCAAAATTAATTGGGGCCTACTTGCCACAACCTCCAGGTACGTAGAAATTTAAAATCAGTGCATGGAACTGTCATGTCTATTAATCATTACAACAATCTGTTAATGTGCATCGTAGAGAGTTTATTATCTGGAGGCACAAAAGAATCTGTCACTATTGTGTAATGTGTGTCAGTTCTTCCCACTAGCTAGTTCTTGTGGACAAATGTTTGTCTCCTTGTTTAAATATATCGCCTAGGAGTCCATCTCTTCTCATTCCCATCCCAGTTTCATAACAATAGCACTAGCACTTAGGTTTATATGCTGCTCCATAGTGCTTTACCGCACTCTCTGAGCGGTTTACAAATGTCAACATATTGCCCCCAGTAATCTGGGTCCTCATTTTGCTGACCTCAGAAGGACGGAAGACTGAGTCAACCTTGAGCTTGGTCAAGGATCGAACTCTTGGCAGTGGGAAGAGTTAGCCTGCTAAACCGCACTCTAACCACTGTGCCACCACACAACAATAGGAATCACATAGTAAATGGAGCTAGATGAGATTGTTGAAAAGTATTGAACTATTTTCAACTAAAATTATGGAAGTAAATAATATCTGGCCATATTTTAATTATTTCAAATTTAAATCAACAAGTTTTTATTTATTTATATTTCATATTTCTAAACTGCCCATCTCCCTCAAAGATATTTTCCTAATGAAATGGATATTTCCAGAAGTAGGCATTGTGAGCAGAATACGTCTATAGAATGTGTCAAAATGTTATAAAATTTGGAACTGAGTAAAATCCTTAAAATACACACCATTGGAAGGAATGCTACCTCATTCATGACAAACAACCTTCAAAATTACTGGCCTGAAAAACATCTGTTCACACGATCTCTGTCTTAAGTGGACCCAGTTTCACTTAATTGACTCTTATTTAGTCCATCATTACCTTCTAAGGAATATCCACAGATTTTGGACAAAATGAGAAAGGAGAGATAGATTATCAAATCCATTCTCTAGACACTGCACTCCAACTATTGAACAATACAAGAGTAAGTCTAGAATCCCTCCATAGATGATATTTGAGCACCCTGGAGCCAAAGAGAAATTTCCTCTTGCCTTTCTCTGGTGGTGGTCTTATAGATAGGAATGAAACTCCTGTAACCCATGTCCTTTCAGTTTTAGGCACAGCACATCTCAGATCAACTGTGTTCTAATTATTCCTCCCTAATCTGTTGGATCTGCTTCTTCCAAAACTGCCCAGCTGCTTAGCGTGGCTGAGGAATCTTGGAAGAAGTATTTAAAATTCAACTGGAAAGTGTCCAATTGGACAAGGCTATCTCAGTTATCAGTATTTAGGACAAATGACAACGTTCACCTTGGCGCATTTCCCTGTGGTCCACATAACAGTAGCAGAAATTAAATAGTGAGAAATAGGTGATTATTTCATTCATAATTAATGCAGTGAAATTTCTTTGTTTGGCTCTGTGGTATGGATTAATCAGTCAACTCTCAAAAATCAAATGTATGATATATATTTTTTTTATAGCTGAAGGTATCTAGCCAGGCATTAGAAGGGTTTTAGTTGCCTGCTGGCCAGTTTTTTTTCTGCACTTGCAATTATAGCTGTTTAGAGTCAAGGAGGTGGCAGAGGGCCAGGTAAGAAAGTAGAGGATTTCACCTGGTACCATAGCAGAGTATAAAAACTTGATGTACCACCAAACCCTTAATAGTCAACTGGAAGCAATGAGTCATGGACAGCACAAAACTCCAGCTGGCACAGTAATTGCTTGACTTCACTGATGTTCATCGATAGGGTGACATGATGGGTAGGAAGTTCTACAATTGTGCCAGTACCATTTTCTCTTACAAAGCAAATAACAAATGCAGAATCCAAATCAAAATAAGGACACTAGCAGGGAAGAATAGGTATATTCAAGTCCAACTCCCTTGGGCAGTGATTTGAACTAGAAGACCTCCAAGATCCCTTCTAGCCCTATGATTTTATGATTCTATGAGTGTCTTCCCCTTCCCTATATGATTCCTGAGTGCAGTAGTCCATCTTTCCTGCCCTACATAAATAAAATCTGTTCAGAGTACTATTAGTTGATCAATGAGGTCTGATTAGGTTTGGTCGCATTCCTTACCCTGTCTTTCTCCCTTAATGGTAGAAAGAAAAACTCAATAATGGAGCAAAATGCTTTATACAAGCATGCATTTATAATTTAAAAGAAAGTTACAATAATATAAATAGATCTCTATATGTCTTATTATAGAACAGGAGCAAGGGACAGTTATACATAGGATTATTTCCATATGCATAGAAGCCAAGGCTAAATGGCCTATTTCTTCCTGCTTTATCCTCTTATTTTCCCACTCATGTCAGCAGGTGAATGAGTCAGACTAGCTCAGTACTGCATGGCATCTGAATCCAGGATGAGGTTTTATTGCACCCAGACAAGCAGGATTATTAGCTGATTTTAAAGGAGCTTTGTCGTTTACTTATAAATCCTGCCTTGCTTGGACATAATATAATCTAGGAATTTGAATGTCACGCTTCCGTAATCAACATGTAGCTCTGTATGGATGAGGGAAGCAAAATGTGGGTTCAAAAAAGGTTGCATGGACTCACATTGTGGATTTAATTGCTGCAGGAACTCTTCCATTAGTCTCAAAAGGTTTCACTAAGATTTCCCAAACAAGGCAGTATCAGGATTTTATTTCAGTTCTTCTCCAAATATTTAAGAAGGCTTTTGAAATGTATGTATTCCCCAGAACCTGTGACACCATAGCATCTAAGTCAGGGGTTAGAAAAGGAGGGTCTGGAATCAAAATTGTCCTTCTGAGAGATGCTGTATTCTTTTTCTCCATTGTGGTGGAACCAGCAGCCAGGCATGGATAGTGCTCACTTAATTTTCAGAATTTCCTCCGTCTGACAAAACTAGTTTTGGATTAAAAAATTTAGATTTACATTGACGTTTCTAGTCCTCAAGGCCAATTAACTTTTAGATTATGATTCCCCAGAAAGAATATACATATGTATGTGTATGTATATAGATATGTACGTATGTATGTATGCATGCGTATAAAACTAGAGAGCAGCCGATTGGCAAGGCTGCACTAGAGTAAAATATGCACATAGATTAGAAAAAAATAAAACTGTGCATGTTTGCTGAACAGGCATGCACAGTGCAAACAGACATATTATCTACACATACATAAATATAATAATATGAATTATCCTTATATTTTTTGGCTTCAGTGTTTATTATAGTCCTGTCTTAACAACCACAATTGGGACTGAGAACTCAATCACTAAGCAATGTGGTCATAAGCAGAATATTGCATGATTGCACTAAACTTATGGATATCATTTCCGTTAATGTATATCAAGCAAAGTATCAACATCCACTTGTAATTTTACTGCTAGTTTCTCCATGGATTCTACTGGATGGAATTCAGCTGTGATGTGCAAGTGGCCATAACGCAACCATGAGATTGTGAGACAATCATAAATGACCACTGGTTACAGAATGCCCAAATTTTAATCACATAACTGCAGGGGACACTGCCATAGCCATAAATGCAAGGACTTCTCATAAAGTTACCTTCTCATTGCCGTCATAACGTTGAGCAGCCGCTTAGTAGATCAGTCATTAAGTGAGGAGTACTTGTATATGTGGAGGGGAAGATCTTGCCAGTATAGTGTTGTGTAGTGCCATGAAGCATTTACAGTCTGATCTCCATGTCATGTAGAGACAAATAATAAGCTCTAAAATAACTTTCACTTGAATTTACATAGTTTCCAGGCTGCAGTCTGGAAGATCACAAGTGGGAGTTTACAAATTTAGTATTCTTCCAAACCAAGTGTAGAGAATATGACATTTTTAGCATTAGCCACATAGAAAATTAACTTAGAAAAGACCACTCCATATGCAAAACCATTTCATTATTTGAGCCCTACTTCTCTCATTTTAGAGGTTAAGCCATGAACAGAATATACAAAGGTCAAAATCTGTCCTTCAGAGGAGTCCAGAAATCTATTGGCAATTAATTATTTTTAAGCTAAAACAATCACAATTTTTGTAGCGTTATTTTAAGAAAAACAATTTTGTTTGCCAAAAAATTCAAAATCCTATCCTTAAGAAAATATCATATAATTTACCTATCCCCCCTATGGAAATAAAGCAGATATTTTTCATAATTTGTTTTGCTTTTTGGGAGGCAATTCACACACACACTTTTGCCAGTCTGAAGTAAAAGGATAAAAAAACTTGACTGATCATATTTTTCCTGAGACATCAAAAAACCTGCTGATAAACTCTTTCGACATCTTCGCATTTGTACTCTTCTAGCATTTTTACTCTTTAAAAAAAGTGTGATTGCTAGAATACTAAGTTCAGCCTCTGCTAACATATTCTGTAGAGTTTTTAAGATTCCCTGCCAAATTTATGGACTTTGTCCTGCATTAGCTATTTCTGCTAAAGCAAAGTTGGGAAAAATATGTAGGAGACGCCCCTGTGCGGTTCTCTCATTGTGTTATGCCAACAGAATGAGCAGCTGCTAAAGTTACACACTACTGCTTCCTAGAGCCAGGAGATTGTGTATTTGTCATAGTCTTTGTTCCTATATTTCTGTCTTCAGCACTTTCCAGACAAAATTGGTGTTTTCTTCAGATGAAACTTGCTTGCTTCTAGATTCTTCCAAAGGGGAGTTGCTCTGCCCATTTTGGGGATGATGTTGTTTTAAAGTGCCATTAGTTGCACTTCGAACACTATTTGCTATGATCTATTGGAAAATGCAATGTCAAATCGTTGGGAAAGTTTGGTGTTTTATATCTTTAAACCAAAACAATTTAATTCTGCATGTAATACTTTGGGTAAGGTGCCTTTACGTTTTGAGCAAACATACCCAAAATACTGGCTGTAAACCAAAAGGCAGCTCTTGACTATTTCAACATCCAGTCTTCTGGCTGCTGCTTTGTTGACCTTACAAACACCAATGTTGGCTTAGTGGGAAATTGATTATGTGGCTCTGTTTTACAATGTCTGTATATGTGTTTGTGTGTTTGGGGGCGGGGTGGGGATGTATGTATATGTGCAGGTACACCTGCTTTGGGACTTGTGTGTGTACATACTTCAACTGCATGGGGGCTGAAACTCCATCCGTGGCTGTAACAAATGTAAAAAAACTAAACGTGATTTAATTAGTTTTTTTCGAATTGTTACAGCGGCGAATGGAGCTGCCGCGGTACGGTGTAGACTGCAGCACAGTGAAGGGCCCGCAAGAAGGATGCACCGCACTAGCAACATTGGGGTCTGTGACATCCGGGAAGCAGCAGCTAGAGAGCGCACAGCACCGCACAGCACAGCAGCAAACCGTCCCCTCTTTTACTTTCGTTTTGGTGAGCACAATTGTACTTATGTTTATATATCTGTATATGTTTGACAAGAATTTTGACAGAAGGTGGTTGGATTTCATGGATACGGTGTGTGAAGGAAGTTACAGCACACAGAAAAGTGACATTTGCAATCCCAGAATTGCACACCCTTTGTGTGTTGTTTCACAATGTGCATCTAATACAGCTCCAGATACATTTGTGGATCTGCCAGAGTAGCAATATTCCTGAGAGAAGTTACAAACTTCTGAGAATTGGATTTTGCTCGACATTCCAAAGCCATCTCTGAAAGACAAGTGTTGACTTAGTCAAGGTCATTACTGCCAACTCATTTGCTACTTTGGGAAAAGAGGCTTGAAAAATGTGTCTTTTGCATAAATTATTGATCCACACATAAGTGTTTTAGAGTATTGTGTGAACCAAAGATTAGCAGTTTACTTAAAAACTATGGTTTTAGTGATATCTATGAAGGTCATTACTGCTTTTCTGCTCAGTGTTCTGAAAGCAAGTACCATATTCCATTCAAATGTAGAGCTCTCTGCATCTCTCTTTTCCACAATGTGCCAACTGAAGGACAATTCTGTATGGTCTTGCTTGGTAGCTCTATGACCTCTAATAAAGCATTCATCTACTACATAATCTGATTATATTTGAGATGGCATTGAAACATCTATTTTGAGGGTGTCCATTCCATAGATTTGATGCTGATTAATGATGGAAACAAACTAATTCATTCTTACCCTGCCTTGCTCCAGCATCATGCAAAATTTGTATGATGTGGCAGATGTAGCCACAGAAAGATGATTTTTTTTCAGCCATGTTCTCTGTGGGAGAAGTTTTTGTATATCCCCAACCCCCAGTCCACGGACTGGCACCAGTTTGCGGCATGCCAAAAACTGGGACTTGCAAACAAGCAAAGCCCATCCATGGGACACAGGCAGCACACAAAACCATGCCCCCTCCGGTCCATGGTAAAACCTCTCTGGTCCCTGTTGCTCAAAAGGTTGGGGGCCGCTGGCCTAAATTATAATTGGTGATAGGATTAGTTCAGAATCTATGTGTAGATTTCTGAGTGAGTTGCAGTCATTTATATATTTTTCTGATCTTTAGCAATAACTATTAGAGTTAGCTCAAGAACAACGTAGAACAATCCAGCCAGAATTAGGTTCTTTATTTGCTTACAATAGACAGAATCTTGCCAGACTAAACTCTTATTAATCTCACCCTAATTGCTATACCCTAGGAGATTCTAAGGAGCATCTATCCTAACTCTCTTCCTCTGTCTCCTGTCCATCTCTGGGCTCTGCTGTCTCTTGTATTCTCCCACTCCTTCTTCCCTGTAGTTCATTACACTAGATCTCCCTCCATAGGCACTATCTCTTTCAGTAATTGAAAAAAAAAATCCCTAAATTATTCCCAATAAATGCTTGAATTTGGGAGTCTTCCCATGACTTCCATTCTCATCCATCCCAATCAGTTCATTGGGATGGAAATATGAATGATATATAGTAAAAAAAATACTTAGTTAAATCTGAATACTGCATGTCAGCCTCCATATTTGATGAAGGATTATGTCAACATACAGGTAGCCATTCAGTTATGACCATTTGTTTAACAATAGTTTGAAGTTATGACAGCCTGAGAAAAGGTTTTTGTCTTCAAAGTTACCACCACCTCACCACCCCTGCAATCACATGATCTCAATTTGCACACTTGGAACATCCCGTATGAATGTTTGGAATGGAATGTTTGATTGACACAATTGTCTTCAACATAAATTTAATGTGATTAGAGATGGAATCAACAGAACATGCACATACATACATACATTTAAAATGAACTTAACTAGAATAGTTAAAGAAAAGAATATTTCCATATTCTTATATCCATAAGTAAAGCATTCTAACAGAAAGCAGTTCATAGAAAAAGGAAAGGCAAAGCACATCAACAATCGGGAGTAAGTTCAGAGTATGCCTATCAAGAGGAGGGAAAGGTCTGGAAACAACCACTTGAAAGACCTGGGATGTTTAAATTGTGAAGACATGATAGCAGGCAATTTTTAGATACTTATGGGTTATTAAGTGGACAAGGGGGTGTTCTTACTCTCTGTTGTTCACAAAGCAGAACAATAACCAGTGGTTTGAAAATACAAGGAACCAAGTTTATGTTAGGTGTTAAAAGGAATAAACAGAACTTTGAAAACCTATTAGAATTTCTCCTACTCTTATATAACAAAGAGAGTTAAAAAGCAACAATACTGTGTTTCTTCCTCACTCCCTCCTGCCTTTGTGGATTAAGCTGATGTTTTCATAATAGCTGTTGCATAATTTCTTCAAGGCTACCTCCACTGTCTTCTACAATGCTATATTCTCTGTCTCTATAGAACTTGAGTCAGAGGCTGGAAATGTTCAAGCAGACGCTGCAAAGAGTAAAGCACTGAGTAGGTGGTTGGAGTAGGGATTAGATGATCTCTGATGTCTCTTCCAACTCTGATTCTATAAGAATTAAGATGCTGGGAGAGATGGGGTGTAAATATATATTATGTAGCTACCATTCTCCACTCGTAAATCCAATTTAATTGGTTCCAAATTTTATAAGAATCAAAACGTATTTTTCCTCAAACTAAAGCACTATTGTTCCATTAAGAGAGAGGCAGTATGAAAATACTGAAATAAAGATTGTTGTCTGAGATTCTCTTATTTTTGATCCCAGGTAATAGTTGTAGTTGCTGATTGTTCCTTTCCTTCATCTCAAAAGCACAGATAGTGGCAAGGGAATAAATCTTCCTTAAAACTCATTGGGTAGAAAACATTGATTGCTTATTGATTACTTCTTACTTATATGCTCAAAACTAGGGGCTAAGGCATAGCAATTTAGATTAAGAGATCCTTGGTTCGGTCTGCCTTGACTGCCATTAAGTCAGTATTCCTCATGTGAAGTTATTCAGATATGTTGATATCCCAGAGAGCAGTTAACTCCAAAATACCTAGTTGTATTAGGAGGTGTAAAGAAATGATAAGAATATAAGAAGAGTTGTCCTGGAATTGTTACGCTCCCTCTAAAGAATTCAGCAGTAAATTACAGATATTCTCATTTTATATAGCTCTTAAGTTTGGATATGGCTCACAGACACAGATTAATTAGATAAGAATCTTTATTGCAAGCAAGAATGGACTTAGGTGAATTAGTTGGTTGCTTTTCCCAGCAACAATCTTGTACACCCACTGTGATTTAAACTTCCATTTTCTTCTGGCCTTTCTCACAAATCAACAGGTTTCTCCTGACAGTGGTTACTTTTTAATTTAGTTCTTCTTAAATATTTTCGTAGTTCCCAACTTTGGCTTTTAGATATTCTGGCCCTCACCTTAACTATCAGCATTCTGTGTCATATAATGGCCTATCAAATGCATTTATGAAGCCAACTTATATGGGTGGACAGGCAAAATCTTTCTCCACTGTCATTTTTTAGTAGCAGTCAGAGATTCAAAAGATAGCCTTCAGTTATCAAGATTTATAGCCACTGATATCCCAATTTTTTTGAATCTATCAAATCCAAAGTAGTGATCATCACCATATATGATGGAAGTTTCTCTCTTTTTGGGTTTACTTTCACCTTCTTTATAGATTAAAAAAAGGTTTCAGAAGAGAATTCCTTTCAAATAATTGAACACTGGATGCATTACATTACCAATTAATTTATTGATTTTATATATTTATTTTCATCATGCATTTTCTAAACAAAAGACAAGTTAATTCAGTTTCCAGTTATATTCTGTTACCTTCTCATTGAGAGATGTGATAATTAACATTTTTCTAGCTGGGATGTGCAACGTGGAATTACTCTTAGAAAACAGATCAAAAGAGATTTCAAGGGAATATCAGTACATGATTTTACAAGATATAATCCTCCATGCAATGAATCTATAACTCTACAGATTGCCTTGTGCATTATTTATTTGCACAAATTTTATTCTGGAAAAAGCAATTCCATCTGACTAAAGGCTCCAGCACTATATATGCCACACAGGTAGATGATGTTTCTATGAAGATTACCTTCCTCTTGGTAACAATACTTCACTGAATTTTTGGAGTTTAATATTTGTGAGGGTTTTCTGTCTTATGCAAAACGGTCTGCATTCCAGAGACTTAATATTTTGTGTTCTATATTTACCCTGCAAGAAAAATAGGCTGTTTTTAAAAATTGCAACTGACTGGCCCTGCTGAATACCTAATAAAAGCTTGTACTGGACTTCCATTGTTTGAAGAAAACTTGGGAACCAGCCATAAAGTCATATTTATATCCCTTGTATATGGGAGAGAGGGGAAGAAGGTCCTATTTTGACCTTTAATGGAGGCAGAAAATTGAATTAGACATTTTCTATTTAAGGCTTCTTACCAGAGAAATGTGCTCATGTCATTGGAAAAAATGAATGAACCAGCAACTGACCACTCCATGAACGGGACACAAGAAGAAGATCCAGTTCCAAGGAGAATAAAACTGAGACTTACCAATTAATTAGATAATCTCAATAATCTCAGATTTATAGGATTCTAAGTATATCATAACGTATAAAAAAGCTGACTAATAGTTCTGTTTGGTAGTATTGACGCCAACCTCCAAGATTTCACAGCTGGAAATAGAAACTGAAATTGTACAAAGAGAAGAGATGCTGAGACTAGGATGCAAAAACTCATCCAGCTCATGGATTATCAGCCCACTTCAGTTGATACTTTGCCCATCTTTGCCTTATTGAAAATTATAGTGTTCTAATATTATACAACATACTGTCTCATTGGCTTGTAAAACTGAATAAGGTATTGCAAGACAAATAAAAATATTATACTTAAGTATAGAAACATCCTGTAGGTAAGAAGGAGAAATCCAATGATCATCTTTCATTTTTCATTGGTATCAAGTTGTAGGGTAGATAAACTATCTTCTAAATAAGCAGAGTTGTCTTTTTTGTCCCCTGTGGTTCTTATCACCATAGTATCTAATTTGTAGACCTAAAATAGAGCTGTCGCCTGCTCCAAGCGCAACCACATGATGCTCTTTGGAAAGAGCTGCTGAACTGATTATTTCAATTAGCTCGTATTTATTTTTAACCATTTGCCAGGACAGTACGGAGCACATAATCCATCACAGAGTTGTTTCTTGTTTCAACTCCTAACTTGCTTGTTTTTTATGTAACATACTGAATAGCCTAAATGCTCTTTGTTTGGAGATACTACCAAAAACTCTACCTCAGTATTCTTTCTCCTTTAATCAAATATACTGGGATCCATCTTCCTAAGGAATCAAAAGGTAGTAACATCTGGAGACAGCAGATGGGGTTCATTGAACTCAAGAGCTGGGAAAAGCTTGTTTTGGAAAGGCTCAGTGGGTATATTTTGATTTGATGCATAAAATCAACAGAAGTGCCTGGTGACTCTCTAGAGCTGCAGACCAGATGTAGTCCACAAGAATTCAGCACCTGGTTCATTCAGCACTTCATTCCCTTTTCTGCTGCAGAAGTGGAAGGGCAAATTGTTTATTTTCCACTGTCCATTATTTCAGCGGAGAAAGAACTGCCTTTCTCTGCTCAGGTGGAGCATAGGAGCAATTCTTCTCATCCTTCTTCTGTTTAAAGAAAGAGTTTCTTCCATTCATTCTGAAGATAGCAAGGGCGAGATTTTACGATTTTCCTTTTCTATCTAGAGCTCAAACCCAACCCATGAAAGAGACAATTCAAACTTTGGTTGATGTTTCACTTCTGGAGGCATCTGAATCAATGGCTTTTCCCTGTAATATGGACATTTATATGGTGTACTTTCACTTTGCAACAGTAAAAATGATTAGCAAACATTGGTTTATTTGACTCATAAGATATTTGATTATATACCAATGGAACATGGGCAAAATATCCTTTACTTGATGCTGCTGTTTTATCATTCTGACTCTACCAGACATTTTCTTGCTCCATTTCTGTTTTGTACAATTCTAGCATGACAGTATCCACAAAAGTGCATTCCCCAGAGTTGTTGTTCTGTAGCATTTTGCATATTTGTACTGCAGTTAATGGCAATAATGTGCATGCTTTGTTCACACCTTTGATTTTGAACAGTAAGTTATAAAATCCTATGTTGTAATAGAATTCTTGTCAACTTAAGCAGTTCAAAGTTTTATTTGCATCCACCGTATGCCATGTTTACCATAATTCTAAAAAATAATGCAACAGAATCTGATATTTTTTCCTTTCCTTTCCAAATTCAGGAGTGGATCAAGCATTGCCACAAGAACGCCGAACACCAGTAACTCCATCCTCCTCCTCTCGATACCATCGCCGTAGATCTTCAGGGTCACGAGATGAACGCTATCGATCAGGTGTGTACCACAACAAAAAAAAAACATTAGAAGGGACTATCTGTAGCTCAGGATTATTCCTTGGTTGAATCCTTGGTGGAATCTGGTTGTTTGCTTACAGATGTTTCATTACCCAGCTAGGTAACATCATCCATTCAATGATTGTAGGGTTTGGGATGTGTGGAGATGATTTTATGTAATCAGGTAATGAAATGTTTTGCAAGCAAACAACAAGCACAGAGAGCACCAAAGACTTCACAGAAGAAATCTCTTTTAAAGAGCAGTAGAGAGATATAATCTTCTTGGTTAAACAATTGACTTCAACTACATCCATCTTTTAACCTTAGTCAAAAGACTCATGAAAAAAAAGGGCATATACAATATTGATTTATGAGTTAGTTGCACATTATACTTTAACTTCAGGAGAGTAAGGCAGCATTCAGGCTATTCTCTTTTCTATTCTACCCTTCTCTCTAGCTATTTCTTGTTGGGAAGCTTCCAATGAGAGAGTATGATTGTTCCAATATCATAGTGTCAAAGGCCAAGGATAGGGTTGGTCCAGTGTCTCCCGAGTCTTAACACAACACCTTGGCGCTATATGATTCATTCAAATCTCTCCTGGAAATATTAGATCTATCTTGGATTTTGGAGATATCAAATCTATCTTATCAAATCTATTTTGGAGATATGACTCTTAATCAGATTTCCTGTATAAGATGCCTACTTTACATAATGGCAAGAGAGTATGATCAAGATTGTATAAATAAAACTTTCACACTGGAAATACCAATTTATCCTTAAAAATTGGAATAATAATTAAGATCACACTGGTATTCTTTATAATACAAAAAAAAATGGAAAATCAAAATATATTTTGTTGGATGGGTGGTATATATACAGGTGGAAGTTTGCTTTGAGAAAAAAACAAAAGAATATTGTGAAAGACAAATTCAATTAAATTGGATCGTTTATTAGCAGGATTAATGATGTTTTTCATTATTGTCTGTATGGGAAATGTTTCAAATATATCTTCAAGCTAGATTATATAGAGACTCTGTGTGTGTGTGTGTGTGTGTGTGTGTGTGTGTGTGTGTGTGTGTGTGTATTTTTCTGGTTTCATTCTGAGTTAGTATTAGTCTCAACTTTGAATTACTATTAATAAATTTATTTTATTTTATAAAGATAAAGGAAGCTAAAAAGATGATAAAAGAAACCTATCTTGACAGTTCATAAAAATGATTCCCAATATGTAGCTCAAATCATGTATTCACGGTGGAGAGGACAAAATTATTTTCTGGCTGAAGAAAATGTCAATAGCTGCTGAAGTATAAACATGGGGTTTTGAACAGCAATATTTCAACATTGCTGCATGATATTCCAAGCCCCACTTGTTTCTTCTGAATGCTCCCCCCCCACAGATCCATCAGGAAAAACACCTTAAAACAACCTAATATTTGAATGTCACAGAAGCAGAAAAATAAAAGCATGGTTTTTTTAAAATTCAATTCTTACAAACTCTAGCTTATGAAAGCCAAACGGAAACCTGTTCTTGTGCCCTTATCAACTGGTTCACACATCAGCAGCTAGACTGGTTTATCTGAACCTAGCCATTGTATTCTAGTATAGTATAATTTATGTTTTAGGTTTGTGTGAACCTGGATTATTTATTTCCTTCCTTCCTTCCTTCCTTCCTTCCTTCCTTCCTTCCTTCCTTCCTCCCTCCCTCCCTCCCTCCCTCCCTCCCTCCCTCCCTCCCTCCCTCCCTTCCATTTCTGTGCTGCCCATCTCCCATACAAAATCTGGTTGGCTTACAAGTTATACAGGAGAAAAATATTACAATATAATAAAATTAAAGCAAACTGACATTAATGTATTATTAAAAATTGTGCTAAAAACACACACAAGAGCCAAGAGATGGATGGAACGGGGATGAGATTTTCCTCCCTCACAAGCCATGTCCTGCAGCGAATACTATTCTCAGGGCCCCAGACCATCCTGCAAAACTAGATTTTGATATGCTACCAGAAGGCTAAAAGACAGGGTAAGGTCTCACCTCCAGTGGAAGAATGTTGCATAGGGTTGGGGCCACAACAGAAAATGCTGTTCCTTGATATTTCTTGCTTCAATTCGTTAGCAGATGGGATGTTTTCTCTGGCACAGAACAAATTCCTTTGCATCGACCATTAAATGATAGTGGCATTTTGCAGTTCTTACGGCCACAAGGCAGGCCTTAACTGCAACTCTAAGGCATCCCCAGTCAGCTTCATTCTTAGTTTTATTCCAGAAACACTCTAACTGCCTTTTGGTCCTATTCACAACCCAAAGCTCTTCCATAACCATGGGGGTTTCGGGACTGATAGGCCACAAGAGGAAATCTATTACTTGCCAAGAGCAGACCATTCGAAGAGGGCCTGTATCTCGCTCCCTATTAACACTCCTTGGAATGGGCTTGGAGAAGAGAGTTGAACTAGCACAATAATGTGCTCCCCATTCCCATCCTCCATAGCCATTGAGATGTCAAGAAGAAGAAGGATAGTGGCACTATCCCATCCCATCTTTGCCATAGGTCATCCACAAGTGCCAAAAATGCCAACTGTCTCCGAATACCTGGCCCAAAACCATAGACTGAGGGGTCCAGATTGTTCATTTCATCCAAGACCGTCTGAAGCTGCAAGGCAACCACTTTTTCCAGCAGTCGTTCTGGAAAGGGGAGGTGTTGTCCAGGAAGATGGAGTTCAATGATGGTCTCTTGAGGTGGAGGTGCATTAGGAGGTCCTTAAATGGTGCTTGAAATAACCCTTCCTGGAGCAATGCACCTATCACCACTTGGACACACCTGCAGGTCACCATCCTGGAGGCTTTCATCAACCAAGTGGGACAGGGATCTAATAAGCAGGTAGTTGCCTTAACAGCCCCTTGGGTCCTGTGCATTTCCCTCTGGTCCAACAGAATTAACTTGCTCACAGATAATCTGGCAAATCCATTTCCCAGGTCTCACCAATGTACCTGCTCTATGCTTGGACTCAGGGAGACAATGCATCCAATGCTTGTCCAAGCCCACTTTCCCAAGGAGGAATTTGGTGTCCCTTGGGCGACACTGGAGATAAGACTGGAGAAATATTTTCGCCATTGGTACCACCACATGGTAGGCATTAATTGATGCCTATGTAAGGTGATCTTCGTTCTTAGTTTTCCTCCAGCGTTATTCTATCTGCCTTTTAGTCCTTATCAGAACCCTCAGTTCCTCCATAACCATGGGGAGTTTTAGGACCAATAGGTCACGTGAGGGCATATGGGCACGATCTTGTCCAGGCTCTTGGGCACTTTCTGATTCCAAGTGGTGACCAAGACCTCCACAAGGCTTCTTTATTTTTAAACTTTCCAATAGTCCAAAATGGCTACCACAATCGCAGGATCAGTCTATTTCTTCTTATCTGTCACTCTTCTCTTTGTTTTGCCCCAATAATCTTCTCGTTTAGCGCAGTTCTCCGTTCTTACTTTATCAGTCCAGCCCTCTGTCCTATGCTCTTTTCTCTTCAAAAAAAAAAAAAAGGGGGGGGAGAACTTTAAACTTACTGTCACAAATCCTAAGAGCGATTTCGCTGAATCACTCCGGCAAGTCTTATTCTTTGCCGCTTGCTCCCTCGTTACGCCACTTCTTCTTTTTGCTGCGCTTCTGGACCTTAAAACTCGTCTTCTTTTGCTGGTCCCTCGATACTGAAAGCAATTTTAACACTCGATCTCTGCTCTTGCCACCAGCTTTCACCGCTCTCACTTCCTTGTCTTCCTGTTCTTATGCGATCGGGACGTCAGGTCTCTGGATCCGCCGAATCGGCCTCCTTCTTCTATGTCCGAAATAAGGGTTCTCCTAGGTCCAGTGCGAGATCGCACCTCTCCCCACCACGCCTCTGGAGTCACCCTCTTTCTCCCGGTCCTCACCCGGACCGATCGCCCCCTTTACGGGCACCGAAACACAGAAAATCACCACAAGAAAGCGGAGTCTCCTTTCTCGTGCCGCTACGATCTATGCATATATAAACAAAATATTAGAAAAGAAATGACATATTTGATACATCATATAATTACGGCTGCCAGAATAGCAATTGCACAAATTTGGAAGACCGATCATTTGCCAACAGATCAGCAGATAATACAAAAAATATATGCATGTGCGGAATCAGATCAATTTAATTTCCTCTGTTGGCAAAGGATAAGGAAAGCTCAAAGTATTTTAAGGTATGGGACAAGTGGTACGATTGGATTAAGCGAAAAGAAAGTGGATAAGGATATATGTAGTAAAGCATACAGATAATATTAATGAGTACTAAATTTTACTTTTCTTTAATACTGAATTTTAAATTGATAATTGATAATTGAGAGTGTATTTCCATGCTTACTTTATATATATACCAACAACGACTTCACCATCAGGAAAATGATTATGGGACTAGGTTAAGAAATATATAATGGGTAAATAAGAAGAATATATATAGATATGTAAAAGAATAGAAATGAAATGTCAAATATATGATATGATCTATGTATACGAGTATCTTATTATGGTTTTAATTGTTTTTATAATTATTTGATAATTTAATAAAGTTTGTTTAAAAAAAAAAGACCTCCACAGGGCTGTGTAGTAGAAACCACCAGGATAACCCCAGCTCCTTCTAAAAACTGAGTGGATCCATTAATTCCTGAAAGCAGACTATTCAAATAGGGCCCACCATTCGCTACCTATTAATACTCCTTGGGATTGGCCAAGGAGAAGGGATATGAACTAGCACTAGGATGGTTGCACTACCCACTCTACTCTTCCCATCAATTATCCACAAGTGCTAACAATGCCATCTGTTTCTCTGTCCCTCACATAACTTGGCTTGAAACCCTACAGAAACGGGTTCAGATCATTTACTTCAATCAGGACCCTCTGGAGCTTCAAAGTGTCCTTCAAAATTGGTGAGGTGAACACTGGAGAAATCAAATACCCAGGATATCTCCCAAGCACCTTCCATTAGTGG